TCAAACATACATCAACATATGCACATAAATAAAAACAAAACCAAATAAGTAATAGACCAGAAATAAACTAAAAAGCAAGAGGCCATGTATGGGGGCAGGGAGACCTTTGCTCATTCATTGCTCTCTTCCCAGCAGGCCAGAGTGGATGTAAAAGAGTTGACTTACGATTTCAGGGACTTTGCAGGTCAGCTGTTACATATATTACTATGAAAATAATAAATGTTGTAAGTCTATAATTCAATTACATGAAAATAAATATATTCTTACTTAAAATTCTCATTTATTTCCTATAGTTTATTTTTACTAACTGTGAAGTTAGATTCTACGGGGTCTTAGTAACAATGACTTAGTAGGCACAGACCAGTGCTTAGAAAATAGGGACTAGGTCCCTGCAAGACTTTGATCACATTTCTGTTAGTGGATCAATTACATAACCTTGCTCTATGAGTGTTTCTGTTTATTGACACCTTATTTTCTATCTATTGTTTTTCATTCTTTCTATTTTTGAGACAAGGTCTCATGTAGCCCAGGTTGAACTTGCTTTGTAGCCAAGGATGATCCTCCTCCCAAGGGCTGGGGTTACCTTCATGCACTACCACACTGTTTATGTGGTGCTGTGGATTGAACCCGATGCATGTTAGGCAAGCACACTACTAACTTAGCTACCATTCTAGCCTATCTGTTGATGATGCACTAACTTTGCCAACACTGTAACCTGGACCTGAGCAGTTTCTCTAGTTCATGGATTCACTTTGCAGGGAACATCCCAGCCTTCTCCCACTTAGGAACACTACACAGGACTTCAGCACTATGGTCTGATGTCATTTGTGATGGCAAAAACACCAACAAAAGTCACACAAATGCAGTGAGAAAATGTGGCAGTGACCACAGCGTGTGAAAGGATGTTTGTGTACAGTGTGAGAGCTAAAGAAGGCAGATCATTGACTTGCTCACTTCAGTTGGGAACATGTGCATTCATAAGTCAAAATTTTACACTCTGAGTGCACCCATGAACAATCTCAAAAACACAGCAAAGCTGGGGTGGTGGCACTTGCCTATTATCACAGTACTTAGAAGGCTGAAGCAGGACAGTTGCAAATTCCAAGCCAGCGTGGGTTACATAAAAGATTTGAGGCTATGGTCAGACCCCGTCTCTAAAAGCAGCAGGGGCTGAACAGATGGCTGTGTTTATACAAACTGCTGTCACAGAGGACTCAAGTTCTACTCCCAGCACTCATGCTGGGTGGCTCACAATGATCTGTAACTCTAGCTCCAGGGGATCTGATACCCTCTTTCTGGCCTATGAAGGCACTACACTCATGTGCTCATACTCCCACACAGACACAAACATATACACATAATTTAAACAATCTAAACAACAATAATAAAATGCAGTGAGGGCCGGCAAGATGGTTCAGCTGGTAAAGGTGCCTGTTGCCAAGTCTGATGACCTAAGTTTGATTCCTGAGACCCATGTGGTAGAAGGAGAGAATCAAGAGACTCCAATAAAGTTGTCCTCTGAACTCCATAGGCATGCCGTGGCATCCCTCCCCCCACCCCAATAAATAGATATAATAAAAATTTAAGAAATGCAGTGACTATTAACTTGGGCTTTTCAAATATGTTTTAGGAAGTAGGAAGATTTGCAAATCTCTAATCACTGAGTAATGTGGATTAACGATCTGCTATTGCCTGTGTGTCACTGTGTGTTTATTGGGACTAACTGACCACATGCATCTCTTCCAAACTCTTGTGTACAGTGATATCACACTGATTGTTTGAAACTGGCTACAGTGGGGGTATTTACACCACAGAAACTGGAAAATACTCCAAACAGAGGCTTGGGTTGCTGGATTTAAGGAAAGTAATGGAGAAGATACTGATAGACATATCCTTCCAGTACTCCAAAACTGAGTCAGTAAACTCACTTCATGAATATGAACAAGTGATGCTTTGACATTCAATTTCGTTTTAATCTTTAATTCGACAAAGTAACAATGTTCATGTCACAATTCACTCTTGTCCATCACAATGGATGGGCTATGCTATTGGCTATACCCACCAATAGCAGAATCAATTGTCAAAGGGAATTTACAATATTATGTATTTTATTATTTGTAAGTTGTGTCCTACCCATCCTTTATTAAGAACATCTATGGCTTAAGTTTATTCCCAGTTACTCCTGGTTGTTGAAGCGGCACATCATGGCTTTGAGTTGACTGACCTCAGTTATTGTGCCACCAAACCTCCACTTACTTGGGTGTAGAACAAAGAGGAATAATATAAAACCATAAGATTTTGAGAACTCAGTTAATCATTGTCCCAGTACCTTGTTTCTAGGCAGGACCATCATCGACCATGTTAACTTTCTCTCATTTCCCACTTTACTTTGAAGACAGAACCAAGGCTGTTTTATCCCTCACCTTCCCATAACAGACCCTGGGGAGTCAAAGGTCTGGATTAGACCTGCTCTTTTAAGGGAGACAAGAACTGACCACTAGGTGGCGTGAGCAAGATTCTTTTGATGGCTTTGGTCCTTTGGTGATCAATGTGAAATACTGTGATATATTTTCCTTTCATAACTCTTACCAGGCTAGAGAGAAGATTAAAAAAAATTGTTTAAAGAGCACGGTCACACTGGTCTGTCCTAAGGATTCTAGTGTGGCAATCAGAATTGGCATTCTGATAATGAAAAATCTCGGCCCTACTGTGGACAACTGTAAGAGGAAATGGAACTGCCTCTTTGGCCAAAGCAATTCCCTTTTGGCAAAGCCATTTGCTTTGCCTTCCTGGTGTATGGTGATACATGCTCTGGTGTACTGTGACACATGCTACCTGCTCAACACTTGTTATGATTGGATCATGACCCACCCAGGCATGTCTCACCAAAGAAGTCAGCAAAGCAGCCCTCCCTGGCCCTAATCTTCCTGCCAGATCTCCCAACCAGAGCCATCAGTTAGTATGTTACATGCTTTCCACAGATAAAGTTTATTAAACAGGCCTCTTTGGGAAAATGACTCTTCAAGGAGATGACGTCATTGACAGCAACCTTAGGCAGACTTCAAAGGGTTGAGGACGAGTGACGGCAGGAAGATCTTGCAGCATCCTCTTTTTCCATCCCCAAGGCCAATGTCTGGGTATTCCAGAAGAGGCAACTTACTTTTCCCTTCTGGGGGTTTGACAGAGAAGTCGTCCTTGGAGTCTTAGCAAAGTCAAGGCCTCATGTGCCGTCTATTGGTGAGAACATTTACTACAGAAGGAGCTCTGCCTTGTAAGTCAAGCCACTGTCTCCCGTCCATTAGCTGCCTCACTTTCAGGGCTTTCGACCATCTTCTTCCATTAAAGCCAAATGCTAAACATACAGACAAGAAAATTAAGCTCCATTAGTTTTATGTTACATGGAATCCACAAATGACGACTTGGTAGGAAAGCTGCAGATAGTAAACATAGTTGGCTATTTTCATATTGGGTTATTTCCGCCAGTCTTTTCCGTTCTGATACCACCTCCATTAACATTTTTTTGAGATAGGGCTAGGCTTGAACTCCCTGTGTAGTTGAGGGTGACCTTGAACTGCTGCCTCTCTCCCTCCCCCACTGTGTGCTAGAGTTACAAGTGTGTGCTACCACACCTCGGATCCCACATGCTAGGCATGCACTCTACCAACTGATCTACATTCCTGGTACTCATTATAATTCTGATGAGTAACATCATATATTTGGGATGGTTTTGGCTATTTCAACAAATCCTTCCTGAAATTTTCCTAAGACAAATCAATTTTGGAACGTAAACGTTTTATTTGTAAACTGCAGACATTTTTCCTTATTTGAAAGATAAAAGGATGTTACCTTGTGTTCGTAAATGAAATTAAAGGCAAAGGTAGATTTTCAACCTAGTACAAATTCCTGGTGTCTATGAATTCACAACCCCCTAAAAAAAATCAAAGTCTCAAGGAATGAATAATAAAGTCTTAATCAAAATTTTACAACAGACAATAGCTCAGGTTAAATTAGAACGACTACAGATTTTTTTTTTCTTCCAAGTTTATTTTGTTTTCATTTTTGGATAACCAAGCAGCTCTTAAAGGAGAATGCACAGAAGAGTCATTCTGGCACTTTTGGATAGTACATAAGCATGTTTTTAATAGTCACATTCAGTCCCCTTGCTCAACACATACTCTCATGTAGGTGAGCAAGATGGGCCCACAGGATTCCAGAGTTAATATGTAAGTATATATACAAGAGGATTCCAGAGTAACTGTATATACAAGCAGCCAGTAAAACCATAAAAAAGGATGCAGTAGGAAGGGCATCTAAAGTGTCCTCTAGTCTATCTTAGCTAAACAGAACCCACATTACACATGATAACTAGAGAGTATACTGCATTGGAATGAGGATGCTGAGTACACATGGCACTTGGCGGCATGCAGTTCAAAGAAAAGGGGTATCAGTCAGTAACTTTACATAAAATCCAGGCAATTCAATTAAGAGGGTTAAGAAAAAAGATAAGAGCAAGGGACTGTCTGTCGTCACTGTAAAAAAGGCACTTGGAGTTAATGGGACCAGAAGTGAAGGACTCTTAGCTGATAAAAAATTCAGTACAATTTCATTGAAAGGCTTGGATGTTAAGAGATGACGCTCAGGAGTTCCTGAAGGGAGACACTGAAATAAACCACAGAGAAACACAACAGATTAAAATGAAGGAATAAGATTTTTACAACTGAATTGTACTTAAAGAAACAACCCCCCCAAAGAGACACCTAACCAAAGTTTAAGCAAAGTAAAGACAGCAAAGCGGCGATGCATAGCTTTTCTTTGAGATAATGCCTACTTCAGGTTGCCAAGAGCCCACCTAACTCCCCAGTCGTAGCTTCACAGTAGCATTATCATGATACAATGGATTTGAGCAATGCAAAAAGAGTTTCATCTGTTCCCAGAATCTGAGGGAGAACTGAGGTGATCCTTGGAGCATAGCAGTATCACAAGTGGTTTTTCAGTGGTCCTGATGGTGCACAAGTCAAGTCCATGGAATGACGTTCAGATGTGTCTCCAGCCACCTCCCGGGAGGGGCAGGATCCATCAGTCATCCTTTATTCTTAGTAATAACCTTAATTCCTCTCTGCCATGGGCACAGCCCTGTCAGCACAGTAAGCATTTACTTCCGTGGCCATTGGCCTTCCGCTTCCTCCATGAACAGGCATGCGCTTCTGTAAGAAAGGATATTTGGCAACTTTATATTCCATAGTGAGGGGCTCACTGATGGCTCATTTGATGTTAAAGGCCATCAGGGGTCTCTCCTCCCGTTTCTGCCAGGGACTTTTCTTATCTTCTCCTTGGTCATCGTCATCTTCGTCTTCTTCGTCTTCATCATGGGCAGATCTCTGGTTGGGACTGGCTAATGATTCCAGGGGAACATCTGAAGTTCGTTTGGTTGTCTCCTCCTGCAGGCTGGGCAGCTGTCCCCCACTCCTCCGACCTGAACTTTCCAACAAGCATCGCAGAGCACTGTCCTCAGGAGTGCAAACTGTGGTCCCACACTCACTGTTGCTCTGGTCCATGTCATCTAGGTACACGAGTTGAGTGTAGGCAGTGCTGTCCGGGGCTCTGGGTTCTTTCTGCTGGTGCTCCTGGGCAGGTGGGTGGCTCTGCTGGACAGTCAAAGGGTCTCCCCTTCCCTTCCGGGCAGATTTTGGTTCATTCATATCTACGCCAGAGTCCAAACTGGCATCGTTACTTCCATTCCTCCCAGCTCTTTGGAGATCAATGTATGAATGTCTCACGTGAGCGTTGGATCTTCCATCCAGGGAAACGAACCACGCTCGGGGGTGTGGAAGTGGCTTCCCACCCCCAAGTTCCATCAGTGCCTTTTCAGTCAGGAGCTGTACCTCACTGTTCATCTGAGCCAAAGCCGCATCATTCAAGGATGCTGGGATGGAAAGAGACTCTGACATGGATGTGTTCTGAGAACCCCAGTCCCGAGTACCTGCTTCTTGCAGGTGCTGCTGAGAGATGGCCTGGGAAGACAAGGGCTGGCCCTGCATCTGAGAGGATGAGTGTGGAAAGATCCCTGTGTGGGGGTTGGACAGCTCAGCCTGGAGTCTTCCTATTTCCAGCTGCTGGTCAGCAGGGACAACCAGAGGCTGGCTGACGTAGGCATGGTCCCCTGGAAGTTTCATATAATGAGCAGGGATGACCAAGGCAGGCAGCACTTTTCTGTAAACGCTGTCATTGACCTGGTCCACGGAACTACAGCAGATCAACTGGCCTGGCCGTGGGAAAGATGTAGGTCTCTCCAGGTGATCAACGGATCGCGACATCATACATTCAGTGGGTCTGCGGTCCAGCAGTTGCTCTTTCTCAGGGGATGAAGGAGCTGGGTACATGTGTTCCTGAATGGTGAGTTTGCTCCCTGCCAATGCCAGGCCTTCTCTATCTTGCTTTTCAAATAAAGGCTGGGGGAGCACAGCATTGTAACCACCCCTGTGGCCATCATTGCCAGAGGGCTCGTAGCCTTCTCTTTCCATAGATTTTCTTGTCTTTAAAGGAAAAATCTCCACGGACTTATGGTAGTCTTTCCCCAGAGTCCCACTTGGCGTGAGGTTATCAAAGGATGTTTGGCTTTTATCCTCTTCCTTGTGGGACAGGAGCTCCTCCCTGGAGCTAAATTCTTGTGAGGTACTATAGGAGAGTTTCAGCATGGGTGTGTGCAGGTCCCCCTCTCCACTGGGGGACATCATCTCCAAGTGCATGCCGCCTATCAGTTCCTTCGTCCCTGGGGCCTCTGGGCGGTTATGGCTGGAGACAGAGAGAGGACCAGGATATTCTGATGCCCGATGAGAGAACAGCAAGTTGATGTGTGACATAGATGTTGACTGATCTCTCTTGGAGCTCTCCAAGGCTGCTGGAAGTTGCAATTTTCTGTGATGCTGACGGGGTTTCAAGCACTTCCTCCTGCAGAGGGAAATTAGAGACTGTGATGATGGCAAAGTTTCAAGTAAAATCTTAACTCTCAATTTTCACAAAGAGAAACAAACCAAATAATTTATAAGCACCGTGAAGCCTCCTTGCTCCACACCTGCATTCTTATTTTAGCCCAGAGTAGAAAATTCTTGGGACTGAAGGCTCAGGCTTTTATAAGAGCAGCCAAGTTACCCATTTAATGGGGGTCAACCAGGAGTCAACAATAAATATTCTTGCTAATGGATCAGAAATGGCATCAAAATATGAAACATTTTGCTTTGATCTTGAGAGTTTCCTCTCTTAGCCAATGTTGAGGAATAGTCTGAATGAATTGTTTGCCAACTGTCAAGATCTTTTTTTAATTTTTGGTCTTTTTGAGACAGGGTTTCCCTGTAGCCCCAGCTGGCCTGGAACTTACTCTGTAGACCAGGCTGACCTTGAACTCACAGAGATCTGTCTGCCTCTGCCTCCAGAGTGCTGGAACTAAAGACATGTGCCACCACACCCGGCTGGCTCTTTTCTTTTTTAAAATTTAATTTAATTTTATGCATATGAGTTTTTCCTGTATGTATGTAGGTACACCACATGGGTACAATGCCCTCAAAAGGCAGGAAAAGGCACTGGATTCCCTGGAACTGGAGTTAAGGACAGTTGTTAGTTGTCACATGGGTGCTAGGAATCAAACTTGGATCCTCTGCAAGAGCAGCGGGTGCTCTTAATTCCTGAGACATCTTTCCAGGCTCAAGCTCTTTTCTTTTTTTGGTTTGATTGTGAGCATGTTTGTGTAGGTGTGTGTGTGTGTGTGTGTGTGTGTGCGTGTATGTATGTTCGTACATGTGAAGGTCAGATTTGGGTACTGTTCCTCAGTCACCATCTACTTTGTTTTTTGAGACAGGGTCTCTCTCTGAACTTGGAGCTCACTAAGTAGGCTAGGGTGGCTGGCCAGCAAATTCTAGACATCTGTCTGTCTCTGCCCTGTCAGGGCTGGAATTACTACTACATGCTACCATGCCTGGCTTAAATTTTTTAAAAATATTTAATCTATTATTTTTATCTTATGTGTATGAGTGTATTGCCTGATGTATGTGAGTGCACCCATGTCGTGCAATGCCG